ACATGCACCGTCTATAAGTCACTGACAAAATGGCCTTGCAGCTGCAACTCATTGACAAAATCTGCTAGGCATTGGGCTTTAATCGATCCTCGTGGTTCAAATGACAAATCGAACTCTGAAAGTTCGATTGTCCATGCCATCATGCGTCCGGCTAGTTCAGGTTTGTGCAAAACCTTGGCGATGGGGCAATCTGTGCGAACTATTATACGGTGGCTCTAAAAATATTGTCGAAGGCGCCGGGCCGTGTGGACTAGCCCGAGCGCTACTTTTTCAAGAAGTTGATATCTTGTTTCAGAGTCTTGAAGCATCCTACTGATGAAGTACACAGGCTGCTGTACTTCCTTTTCTTGCACTAACACGGCACTGATTGCTTCGTCCGACACACACAAGTATACAATTATGTTTTCCCGAGGATCGGGTTTTGAGGGGATTGGAGGGGAGCCGAGGCGTTGCTTTAACGTCTGAAATGCTTCTTCACAATCGGCCGACCATTCGAACTTTACCTTTTTTAATAGCCTAATGATAGGCTTTGCCGTTTCAGCTAGGCATGGCAGGAACCTTGACAAGGATGTGAGCCGTCCGGCTAACCGTTGCACCTCTTTAAGGTTCTGGGGGCTTCTCATGCCGACGATTGCTTGGTATTTTTCAGGATTGGCCTCGATGCCTCTGGCCGATAGCATGAAGCCGAGAAACTTACCCCCGAAAACGCCGAATACATACTTCTCTGGATTCAATCGCATGTCATGTCTGCGAAGTTGTTGAAATACTTCTACAAGGTCAGATAGGTGTCGATCAAGGTCTTCGGATTTGACGACCATGTCGTCTACGTATACTTCCATATTTTTTCCAATTTGATTCCGAAACACCTTATTCATCAACCTTTGATATGTGGCTCCAACGTTCTTCAATCCGAAAGGCATCACCTGATAGCAATAATTGGCCGAATCGGTGATAAAAGCTATTTTTTCCTCATCGCCGGGGTGCATGCGTATTTGATTGTATCCGGAATACGCGTCAAGAAAAGTGAGGAATTTATGCCCTGATGCTCCGTCAACTAATCGGTCAATGTTTGGCAATGGATAAGCATCCTTGGGGCATGCTTTGTTGAGATTAGTGTAGTCGGTACACATTCTCCATTTACCGTTCGGCTTCCTTACCATGACCACATTTGTCAGCCATGTCGTATATTGTACTTCCCGAATGAATCTTGCCTCAATCAACTTGGCTACTTCGGCTTCGACTGCTAGTTTCCTGTCGGTCCCCATCTTTCGCTTGCGCTGAGCTATAGGTCGTGCGTTGGCGCAAACAGAGAGCTTGTGGCACATGAAATGTGGGTCGATGCCAGGCATATCTGACGGTACCCATGCAAAGAGATCTTGGTTCCGGATGATTATCTTGCTTAAAGCGGAGCGGTCTCTTTCGGGAGTGCTGGCACCGATGTAAGTCACCTGAGATGGTGACGAACCTATTTGCAAAGAGATCTTGGCTTCAATTGGTTCCACATGGTCCTCTTCGTTAATCCTAGGATCAAGATCCCAGGCCTGGGTTTCCGCGGATGCTGAAGGGTTTACTGCATGAACTCTTTTCGATTTTGTTTGTTTCTCTTCTTCCATGGGAGTTATTCGCAAGCTGGCATAGTAGCACTCCCGCGCTGCTTTCTGATCGGCATGAATAGTAAGGATGTTTCCTTTTTCGGATGGAAACTTCATTGCCAAATGTGGCGTAGAGACGATTGCTCCCAACATGTTTAATGATGGCTGACCGAGCAAAATATTGTATGATGTGCTAGCGTGCACCACTATGTACTTCACTTGGATTTCTCTGTATTCCTGTTCATCAAAGCAAAAACGGGTAAAGAGTTTAATGTATCCCTTGGTGCTTACTCTTTCTCCAGAGAAACTGACCAGGGGATCATCATAGGGTATGAGCTCCTTCTCCGAGATACCCAATTGCTTGAAGGTGTTCCAGTATAGAATGTCTATCGAACTGCCTTGATCGACCAATGTTTTCTTAACTATGCAGTTATGAATTTCGACACTAATCACCATTGGGTCATCTTGTACGGGATCAATGCCCTGAAAGTCGGCATTAGTGAAGGTGATTGACGGTAGCCTCCGAGTTGGCTGTTTGTCGACCACATGGATCGACCGAACGGCACGCAAATGCCTCTTTTGGGCTGAGGAGGTTGAACCCCCCAGCAAATCCTCCTGCAATTGTGTTAATGACTCGCCTATGTGATCCTGTAGGCTCGTCCTTTCTTTCACGTGACCTACTACGTTCACGTCGGGGCCTCTCGGCGTGATCTTGCCTATGCCGATCGTTGTGTCGAGATTGGAATGAGGAGCGAGGCCGAGACGAGTCTGATCGATCTACAAAATTACGAAGCTGCCCCTGCTTAATTAGATCCTCAATTTTGTCCTTCAGAGCTGCGCACTCTTCGGTAGAGTGTCCTCGATTGCGGTGATACCTACAAGACTTGTTGGTATCGGCCCGCGGCGGGGTGGATGCTCTTTTTGGAACGGCCAACACTTCGGAATCGAGAGCTTGCTCAAGTATCGCTGCCCGACTTGCATTCAAGGGTGTATACTACGAGTATTTTGGTCCTCGTGTAGGTCGTTCCCGAAGTGTTATTTCTTTGTTGCGACTCCGAAATGATGACTCTCCAGGCTTTTCAGTTTTATTTATGGTTTCGGCTCGGGCTTGATTCCGAAACTCTGCCAACTCCTCCATTTGCATATATTTATCAGCTCTCCTGCGTAAGTCATTCATATCTGAGGGGGGTTTTTTGCAAAGGCTATTAACAAATGGCCCTGGTTTTAAAGCTGTTGTCAGATGATGAAGTGCTACGGCCGGGTTAAGATCTCGAATTTCCAAGGCTGCCTTGTTGAACCGATCAATGAAAGCTCGAAGCGTCTCCTTCTTATCTTGCCGAAGACTAACCAGCGATAAAGATGTCAAGCTGTGGGGACGACTCGTTGCAAACTGCACTGTAAATTGAGACGACAAAGTATTGAATGAGTCGATCGAATTAGGGTGGGTAGCCGAGTGAACCAGCTCAAAGCCCTGCCTTTGAGAGAGGTAGGGAAAATGCGACACAAGGCAACATCGTCCGTAGTGCTCAGGGTTACCTGCATAAGGAAAACATCAAGATGCTCATTAGGATCAGTAGTACCATCATACTTATCAATAGGCAAAGATTTCCAATTGTCCATCAAAGGGAGCTGCATGATGGAGGGGGTAAATGGGTGTCGGTGTGACCCGATAGTTGCCAGATCTGTGGGTCGACCGACTGTGGGTAGGGCAGAAGGGAATTTTTGAGGTGCTGCAGCCGAGGCATGAGGAGCCGAGGTGTAAATTGCCTAGGATTGATACGACCCTTGAGTTTGTGTATTCGTGGCTTGAGTAGGTTTCCACGATGGATCCTAATTTTTTAGTGCCTCATTTTCGGCTCTTAAGGCCGAAAGCTCCCTCGCATCCTTTTCTCGTTGCTGCTTCATTGCCTCCATCTCTTGTTTCAGCAGCCGAACAGTCTTAAAGAGATCGGTTTCGTCTACCACTTCTACATGTTCCTCCTCTTCAGTTTGATGATCTCCCATGTTCGTTCTCCTAGTTATCGCCATTGCTTCGCTTAGTTGATCTTTTAGTATCGCCTCAGTTCGGCCCCACGGTGGGCGCCAAAATGTACCTGTCTGGGATACACTCGTAGTCTTCTGGGTGGTGAAAGGCCGAATGAGTACTCCAATCGAATATTCCGGTGAAGGGATTGGTACCTGCAAAAGGCACTCCAACGCTCAAGTCAGGACAAGCGCAAATATCTAGAATAATTAATGAACAGTGACGTTACCTTTTGACTTGAGCTATTTATACTGACATTTATGGGCCCTGACCTCTCTGGGCCCTATGACAAGATTACCATATTAGGTAATATGCCTCTAATCGGTTTATCAATGTGATTAACTCTTAACTCTTGATTAAGGATAATTCTTGTCCCTTGATTAATGATAGTTCGTATTCAATAGGTATCCAATGGCCGATCAGCCGTCGGCCACCTGGTTCGGCCCTTCAGGTGCCGATTGGGTGTTGGCCACCTGGTTCGGCCTTTCAGGTGCCGATCGGGTGTCGGCCATATGGTGGCCGAAAGGCCTTGCCAGTACACTATTAATTCAAAAAGTTGTACCAATGATTAACAGTGACCTTACTTTATTATTATTATTGGTTGAACTTCATCTCACATATCAAGTTTGTATTCTGAGTTAAGTGAAAACACCCTTATTTAGTTTTTCCTTGAATAAGAACACATCTCGCACTTCTATTTGATCCAAACTTTGCAATTCCTAAGCTTTGAAAATAACTCATTTAGATATTTGTCTGCAAGAGGTGGTTTGATGAATGATGATCCATCCCTTTCTTATTCTCCCTCTCAAGGCCCTCTACTGGGAATCCCTCATGCACCACTCTAGTGAGGAAACCTCTTTTAAATCTAGCAAGGCTTAACACCTTTTTTCTTTTAAACACAACTCCTTTCAAGATTGGAAGGATAAAAGATGTATAACATTGCATCCATCAAACTTGTTAAATTATTGTCCATACAAAACCATTAAGGTTAACCTAATCATGGAGGGTTTAAATATTATACACCAAGTCATAAGTTTGAATCCTATTGTCTTCATTATAATTCCCATTCATCTAAAAAATATTTATTGCCAATAGGTCCTATTTATTTCCTCTTCATTCAAACAAAGATATTCTACAAACACACAATATATAAAGTTTGTACATATTTAGAAATACTTTTGATAGTATCTCTACTAAAAATAATCTTTATTTTTACTAGAAAAGTTCTCAAAAATATTTTTAACTTGTATAAAACATACTCATAGATACCCATGAATAAGTTGTTAATTGTAAAGATCAAAGACAAACCATGTTAAGAAAATTATCCTAAGCAGCATGTTAAGTATGCCATATTTCCTGGCAAAGTTTCTTGCTTATTCAAAACAGAATAGAAGGAAACCATCGATTGATGATCTTTCGAACTTGTCCATAGGAAAACAGTTTACATGGTAGTTAAACAGCTGCAGGAGTACAGGACAAGCAAAAATTCATAAAATCTTGGGTGTCAGAAGGACATGAGTATGCGAATTGAAGTTACACGAAGGCCAATTTAGCATTTTAGTTCACTCAAGAAATTTATGATAGTATTGTAGAAAACAAATTTCTGACAAAGGGCAAAAAAATAGAAGAGCAGAGTTAGCACATGAACTCATTTTTTAACGAATTGCAAACCGTTTGCATTCGAGTATCGCTCCATAAATCTCATGAATCTATCCCAGTCACGTGGAGTCCTCATGACATACTTGGCTTCAATTACTGAGGGCTTCCCATTCACAAATTTAGCATTTACATCAACTGACTGAAGGACACCTTCCTCATCAATCATGTAAAAACCAGTGATATCACCTATTTCACCCGAAGAATCGAAAACTGAGGGTTGATCAAATGTGAAGATAGCCATGCCATTTGTTCCATCCCTTGATTTAGTTAGCTTCACATCAGGTATTGTTTGTTCATCAGTTCCCTGGATGAACTGTATCTTTGGTTTGACCATCATGATAACAGGCAGGTGCATGGGAGTCTTTTGTGTTAGCACAGGTAACCTCAAACATGGCATGCGTAAAGTTTGACCATTGAATGATGAGTTTGCACTTTGATGGACAATTGAAGATGGAACTGCATAAAGGAACATCATAACCATTATTATTTTATATTTTGCTAGTGCTAAATATCTTCAAAGAAATCAAATACATCTCCAAAGTTCAAAGAACTTCTATATCTTGGAATCAAGAGTAAGGGTCAATGAAGATGAATACAAGAAACTGCACTACACTTGAGCATTATTGATTTATATTTTGCTAGTGCTCAATATCTTCAAAGAAATCAAATACATTTCCAAAGTTCTAAGAACTTCTACATTTTGGGATCAAGGAAGGGTAAGGGTCAATGAAGATGATACAAGAAACTACTCTACACATAAGCATTACTGCCTTTTATTTTGCTAGTGCTAAATATCTTAAAAGAAATAAAATATATTTCCAAAGTTCAAAGAACCTCTATATTTTGGAACCAATGGTTAGGGTCAATGTGAAGATTATACAAAAAACTGCTGTCCACAAAGAACAGTGCAGTGAAGCTAGAAAATTGAAACTAAAGGGTCTTCTAAGATTACTCTATATACTTGACAACATTAGAAAAACGCAAATTCTGTTAAGAATTGTAGATTCTCGGTTGTACTATCACTTTCATATACAACATTGTGAGAGGCAACCCAAGCTAATAGCTATTGAGTTGAAAATGATTCAAGGGACTAAACCCCACAAATTATTCTGAACAATATTATGGAAATTCATGTATAAAACTAAATATGAACCAACCATTACTGATGTTACATGTGGTAGCATAAATATTATTATTTTTTGATCAGGAATTTTACCTTAGTAATTTGTGCAATAAAGAACTCAATTAAATATTAACATGAATTACCAAAATAAAACTCTAAACCTGATCATAAAACACTACTAATATCACTTATGATACTATATCTAAGTTTTGTTAAGCATTATGTAGATATCAAGAGAAGAAAAAAAAATTTAACTGAAGAAGTGACAAACATTATCAAATTAATCTATTACTATAAATATTACATGAGTACCATAAATATCGTCGTATTGTTCTCTAACCAGAACAGTAGTAATAATGCACAATAAAGAATTCCTCTAAATATCGATGTGCAACGGTAGTACTTTATCTAAGTTTTGTCCTGCTAACCCTTTAAGTTGATCCCCAACCGTGCTGAAGATATCAAGAGAAGAAAAAAGATTTTTTTTAACTGACACAAACATTGTCAATTCAATAGTAAGTCATACATTGTCCAACTCAATTTCATCACCCTTGCTCATAAAACAATCTCAGACTCAACCTTTGAACACTTGATAGGAGAAAGTGCTGTTAGAGAAGATAAATTTGAAGGGATGGTGGTACCTGAGTATGAACGTGGCTTCTGAAGTGAGTTGGAGAGTGGAGAGGACAATGCAAGAGAGTGCAGAGTTGCCATTGCCAGAGAGAGAGAGATTCAGTTCACAACACCTCTCTCTCTCTTTCTGTAGCATGAAGAGTTAAATTGTGGTCCACAAATGTATGGTGTGTAACAAAGACAGCCACTCACTTGTGATGATAATTCTTTGCATTTTGCAAAGGATTGTGTGTGTGAGAGACTGATCTCATTTGTCACAATCGAGTGTAGATGCTGACATGGCAGCCCATGAATGATACACGTTGCACTAATCATGATTTTTGTAATAATTAATATTTTACCACTTGCCAAGTTAAATGTTTGTTCTATAAGTTAGTTACATTTTGTTCCTCAAATTATATAACTTTTTTTTCTTAAATTATCATTTAATTACAAATTATCGTCCATATTAATTTTGGTAACTTTTATAATGAATGACTGAAAATTATTATCGGTAAATTGTGATCGGTTAATAATATTTTATTCTAGAAAGTCATTGAACTCATTTTGTTTTTAGTTTTTATTTTATTTTATTTATACTATATAAAATTTTAAAAAATTATTTTCACATATTTAAATTATTATAATTAGTATAATTTCGTGGTAGTTTATAAAAAAATTAAACTGTCTAAAATTATCTTAACTATAGTGATTTTTTATTGAAGTGTTAGAAAACTCTATTGTACAAGTATGAAGGTGTAAAATTTGCAACATCTTGAAAATTGAGGGATAAAATTTATATAAAGTTTTTTAGCGAAGAAATTTACGATATTGTGCAACTGGGAGAAAAAAAGTGTAATTAAATTTATTTTATAAAAAAATTATGATACTTTTTAATATATAAAGTATATTATAATTAAAACATAATAATTAAACACTTTAATATATAAATTATAATTGAAATATATATATATATACATATATACTATTAATGAAAAATAAAAAGAATGTGACTTATATTTTTTATAAAAAAATTATATTACAATGACTGTATTTTTAATTATTGATTATTTTTAAAATATTAATATTTAATTTAACAATTAAAATAAAAATATAAATTGAAAGAAATATTTTAAAAATGCTTGTGATAAAAAAATAACTCTGGAAGAGAACTCTTAAAAACATTTTTATTTAATATAGCTAATATAATTTATATATGCAGGAGATTGTTTGTTTGGACTAAAATGAATCTATGCTCATTGTGCATCCCCATCCTCTTATTGTACTTGTGCATGTTTAGTATTTGAATAACAACAACTAGGGTCCAGCCCATATAACAGACTTGTAAAAAAAATGTGAACCATCATGATAAATATGTAACCCAAAAATGGCCACCTAAATGGGCCTGTTCAACTTTATTGATGCAATTACGACACAATTTTGTTCTTGTTTTTTTTTTTTTTTTCGTCCCTGGAGTATCCACTGCCGACAGCAGTGACTAATCTCCTCGTTACGTTGGAGGCACCTCAAAGGGTGGGATAGCTGACCCCAAGATTTAACGCGACTGCATACATCAACTCCTACTACTGAACCATACGCTTGGGGTTAGTTTTGTTTTTGTTTAAATGTGTATAATCTATTATAAAAGATTTTTCAAATTTAAAATTACTTTTTTAAGTTCTGTAATTAAAAAAAATATAAATAAAAAAAAACTTATTTCCTCTATTCAAATCTGACAGTGAAACTATCACAAAAATCAATTTACAACAATGTTTGCCTCACATCTACCAGTGTTTTTATTAGTAAAAATATATAAAATGAAGCTAATTTGTCCATTTTAACGATATTGATGAAGGATCAACAATTTTTTTAAAATTATAGGGATTAAAAAATACTTTTAAATTTGGAAAGCCACAGATAAATTTATTCTAACTTTGAAAACATATTTAAACTCAATAATATATGATAAAATAACACTGTAAAAACAGTACATTCTAATTAAATTCTTTTATAATTTCAAAAACTTAGCACAAAAAAAGAAATTAGTGTGTTAGAACGAGTGGTAGTTTAGTTTCTGCTCTCTGGTCAAAATCCGACAGGGTAAGTGGTACCGTATTAAAAGAATTGGACCCATAGCATACTTTGATTACCATATTAGCGAATTCAATACCAAGAGCATAATTTCCCTTTCACCCATTTTTTATTTTGGGTGTTTGATCAAATATATTTTACAAAATCATGTAGTAAACAAAACTGAGGCCCAATACATATTGGGCCTGAAGAATATAAGGTGAGATCATTAGATCAAGATCCATACTAATATATGACTTGAAAGTGCAAAAGTATAACATTATAATGGTATGTGTTACTTAGGAGTGGCAAAACGGGCCAGTCCGGCCGTTAATGGCCTGTCAAAAATGGGCCGGGCTGGCCCGTCAATAAAAAACGGGTTGGAAACGCTAGCCTGTCGTGTTTAAGGATGGGCTAGCGAGTCAGCGGGCCAACCTGCATACCACAAAAAAATTACAAAAAAAATGAAAAATATTTATTTTATGTTCAAATAAAAAAAAACTACTATAAATAAATAAATATGACCATATGAAATTAAAAATGCATACATATTGTACATAATATATGTTCAACAAAATCAAATAGAAATTAGTCTACTTATACCAAAATCAAAACCAAATTATAAACTTATAAATTACTAATAATTTAAATTTTTTGATAGTTCACAAAATAAGTCCATTACTTATGCAAGCAACTAAAGCCCAATTACTTATGTACGTTGGCGGGTTGTGACGGAACAGCCCGTCATTTGGCCCGACGAGTTGGCGGGTTGAAATGATGGGCTCGACCTGCCAATTTTTGGTGGGCTAATGGGCTAACCCGCGGGTCACTGCCCATTTTGCCATTCCTAGTGTTACTTGACTTGCATGTCAAAGTTTGAATCAAGGAGTGCCTAAAATTCTTGTGGCATTAGGGAAAAAAAGGGAAAGGAAAAGGAAAATAATAGGCCAAAAAATAATTTTCTCGATGATTATTATTAGTTCTATCAACAAGCATGTACATGTGCAATTTGGAGCACCATAATCCCGTTTTAGCATCTCTTTGCTGTGTGTAAATATGGGCTTTTCTTCTTTTCTTTACATTTTAAAAATGATGAAAGGCTGGTTCTGGTTTTGCTTGGCATAAAGGCACGTGCACACACTTAAGAAATGTTTTCAGCACATTCTACCATCCTAGGATTCCCATTTCCCACAATTAAAAAAGGGTATAAGAAAGAACAGCCATCAAATAATTCAATATATGACTAATTCATTCATCATTTGAAATCCTCTCTCCAATTATAAGGAAAAAAAATGTACTTCACCAGGAAGCTGCTATTTCACGTGGCATCCATCTGTTTTGGTACATCAACAGATGCCAAATGTGTTCCAATTTCCGAACAATATAAAGGGCAGTGATTCTTATGATATCACCTCTTGAATCCAACACTTCACATGCATCCATGTGAATATTGGAAGAGATAAAAGTGCAAAAACAAAAAAGAAAGAATTTTGATCTGAAAGAAGTGGCAGTTGGTGGGCTCAGACCATGATTGATTTAGTGCACCACTTTGATCCCATTTCCTTCTGCTTTCTAATTTCTCTAATACTTTATTATCTATTATATTCTCAATGCCATGGAATTAATATCATCTATTACAGTTTTGTCTGCTTCTTATTTCTCTTTGGAAAAGAAAAAAAAATTTCCTTGAAAAATTAACATAAATAATTCTCTGATTCATTTGAGAATTGTTGGTTCTTTGATATTTCAAATTGTAGAACTAGGAAATTTTTTTGTTACATTTGCTTCTTGTGTGTCACAAATGATCAATTGAGTGCATGTCACTCTAGTTTTAAGAATTCCTCATAATCATTTTTGTGTCCCTTTCAATTTTTTATGAAGGGAGGAATTTGTCTTATTTTCATGTTTCCTTCTCCATGTAACATGGAAAGATTCCCTTCTCCAAATCATAACGAATAATTAACATTTATGAGTCTAAAACCATGAAATGGGCAATAATGGTTCTGATATTTCCTTTTCCCTTTTTCTTTCTTGTGTCTCTTCCTTCCTTCCTCTTAATGGATTACAAAATAAGAGGGAGAGAGGGTGGGGGTAGACACAGTTTCTTCACTCTTTTTTCTTAAAAGATTCCCATATTCACATGGTTTTCAGGTTTGGTTGGGATTTTGAAGAAAAAGTAATAAGTACACCAATGTTCTGGTGGATCCTAACTTTAGCCGTATGTTAGTTGGGCCATTTATGCAACCTTTCTGAATCTTTGTCATGGTTAGAAGTTACCACTGGAAATTCGACTTTTACAATCATGGAACAAACTTAAAGTAGTTAATAAATTATTTTGTTAAATGTGCTGCCATGGCAAGATGCTTTCTGTTCAGATACTGTTTATTAACAAGTCAAGGTTCTGAAAGCTGTTATAGTAAAAGATCAAACGAGATTATAAAGTTAACTTAACTATGTAGTGAGGTAGTTATATTTTTTTGTAACTTATATTTTTCTCATTTCTGGTAGCTGATTGAATCTCGGTCATAAATTGCCAAATTGATGTAAATATTTGTAGACTGATGAAAATACACGGTACTGGTTAGTTATTGAATGGAGAGTGAATTATTTGTTATAAATACATTTATTTATTACCTAGCTAAAGAAGCAAGACAAAAACTTGAGGGTGAAATTAAAAAAATACCTCACCCCGATGTTCCTCTCAATGCAGAAGATCTAAATTCTTTCATTCCTTTATTCTCAATATTTTAAGTAAGAATGTAATTGCCGTAAAAGGGGTTCATAATTAAAAATTAAGATAGAAACAATAGTTTTTTATACATAAAATACAATGACTGCATCATTATTCCTCCTTCAAGTTGACAACGATCAGATGATTACACATAAAGGAAGAAGTAGAAACTAAACCAATATGAATGGCCACATTCTCTCCCATGTTTTATGTCGGAGGAAGTTCCAATAAGTCCAAAGCTTCATCGTCCTTACATGAACATTACTATCTGCTTTGAAATACCAAACCATTAACCTGAAAAGCCCTTAAAAGTGACCACATCTAATCAATGGTTTATTATTAGCCCACACTATTATATATCGAATCAACTACATTACCATCCTTCTTTTACCTTTCCTCACACACTTGAGATGTCACTCTCTGTCAGTGTTCTGTCTACCCCCCACATGATCACCCTTCTCCTCCAGTAGAGAGTGCAAAATGCAAATGTCACACAACTGAGACGCTGATCAAGCAAAACAAGAACAAGAAAGATGCAGCTGAAAACTCAGTTTCTCTTCTACTTCTATTGCATTTGCTGTTTCTCTTACGGCTTTGCTGCTGCAGCACATGATGAAGCATCTGCTTTGCTTTCTTTAAAAGAAGGTCTTGTTGATCCATTGAATAGCCTGCATGATTGGAAATTGGTGGACAAAGCAGAAGAGAAGAATGCAACTCATTGTAACTGGACTGGTGTCCAGTGCAACTCAGGTGGAGCTGTGGAGAAGCTTGATCTCTCCCGCATGAATCTGAGTGGCATCGTGTCCAATGAGATACAAAGGCTGAAGAGTCTCACTTCTCTCAACTTGTGTTGCAATGGATTTTCCTCATCATTGTCATCCATAGCCAATCTCTCCACACTGAAGAGTCTTGATGTCAGCCAGAATTTCTTCACTGGTGACTTTCCATTAGGCCTCGGAAAGGCATCAGGACTAACGACCTTGAATGCATCCAGCAACAACTTCTCTGGTTTTCTTCCTGAGGATCTTGGAAATGTCTCTTCCTTGGAGACTTTGGATCTCAGAGGCAGCTTCTTTGAAGGGTCAGTTCCAAAATCCTTCAGTAAGTTGCACAAGTTGAAGTTCCTTGGTTTATCAGGGAATAATCTCACTGGGGAAATCCCAGGAGAGCTGGGGCAGCTTTCATCACTTGAGTGCATGATTATTGGATACAATGAATTTAAAGGAGGGATTCCAGCAGAGTTTAGAAATCTCACCAAGCTGAAGTATCTTGACTTAGCAGAAGGCAATCTAGGTGGTGAAATTCCAGCTGAGTTGGGGATGCTCAAACTGTTGAACACAGTTTTCTTGTACAAAAACAAATTTGAAGGCAAGATTCCACCAGCAATTGGCAACATGACTTCATTAGTGCAGCTGGATCTCTCAGACAACATGTTATCAGGAACTATTCCAGCTGAAATTAGTCAGCTGAAGAATTTGCAGCTTCTGAACTTCATGCGTAACCGGCTATCTGGTCCTGTGCCTTCTGGCCTTGGGGACTTGCCTCAACTAGAGGTGCTTGAGCTATGGAACAATTCCTTGTCAGGGAAATTGCCTAGTAACCTTGGCAAGAATTCCCCATTGCAGTGGTTGGATGTATCATCCAATTTACTCTCTGGTGAGATTCCAGAAACTCTTTGCAACAAGGGCTATCTCACCAAGCTTATACTCTTCAATAATGTCTTCTTGGGTCCAATTCCAGCAAGCCTATCAACATGTCCTTCACTTGTTCGTGTTCGAATTCACAACAATTTTCTTTCTGGGACAATTCCTGTGGGTCTTGGGAAGCTTGGTAAGCTTCAGAGGTTAGAATTGGCTAACAATAGTCTCACTGGTGGAATTCCTGATGACATTGGTTCTTCTACATCCCTTTCTTTCATTGATTTTTCCAGAAACAACCTCCACTCTTCTCTTCCTTCAACCATTATTTCCATTCCAAATCTGCAAACTTTAATTGTCTCCAACAACAACTTGAGAGGGGAAATCCCTGATCAATTCCAGGACTGTCCCTCACTTGGTGTCCTTGATCTCTCATCAAATCGATTCTCTGGAAGCATTCCAGCAAGCCTTGCTTCATGTCAGAAATTGGTAAGCTTGAACCTACAGAATAATCAACTAACTGGTGAAATCCCAAAAGCATTGGCAAGCATGCCTACATTGGCCATTCTTGATCTTGCTAACAACTCTCTACACGGTCAAATACCTGAAAGCTTTGGTATGTCTTCAGCTCTGGAAACATTCAATGTTTCACACAACAAGCTAGAAGGTCCTGTCCCAGAAAATGGCGTGCTAAGAACAATAAACCTAAATGATCTTGCGGGAAATGCTGGCTTATGTGGTGGTGTTCTTCCTCCATGTGGCCAAACCTCAGCATATATATTAAGTCATGGGAGCTCACGTGCAAGGCACATTCTTGTAGGATGGATCATTGGAATATCATCAATACTAGCCATCGGCGTTGCAACTTTGGTAGCAAGATCTTTATACACAAGGTGGTACACTGATGGATTGTGCTTCGGAGAAAGATTTTATAAGGGTAAGAAGGGGTGGCCTTGGAGACTGATGGCATTTCAGAGGCTTGATTTTACATGTAGTGACATTTTATCCTGCATCAAGGAAACAAATATGCTTGGCATGGGAGCAACCGGGGTTGTTTACAAGGCTGAGATACCACAATCAAGTACCATTGTGGCAGTCAAAAAGTTGTGGAGATCAGGATCTGATGTTGAAGTAGGAGGTAGTGATGACCTTGTTGGAGAGGTGAATCTTTTAGGGAGGCTAAGACATAGGAACATTGTTAGACTACTAGGCTTTCTTTACAATGACACTGATGTGATGATAGTTTATGAATTTATGCACAATGGAAACCTTGGAGATGCCCTACATGGTAAACAAGCAGGGAGATTGCTTGTAGACTGGGGTTCGCGATATAACATAGCTCTAGGAATTGCACAAGGACTTGCTTATCTTCATCATGATTGTCATCCACCTGTGATCCATCGAGACATCAAGTCAAATAATATACTGCTTGATGCAAATCTTGAGGCAAGGATAGCAGATTTCGGGTTGGCCAAGATGATGCTCCGGAAGAACGAAACAGTCTCCATGATTGCTGGATCCTATGGATACATTGCCCCTGGTGAGTAACTATATAGTTCATACATACTTTTGCAGATTAATGACTGAGAGCTAGTTGGTTAGTTAAGAGCTCAAAAAACACATCTTTCAATCAGCAGATTAGGATAGAAGAGAAGACTGTCTGTATTCATACTTGTTGTGAAGAGATGTTTCTTCCTTCTTAAATGTACAAAATTTAGTTTCTAACAATTTCAGTTCTTTATTACTTGGCAGAATATGGATACTCCTTGAAGGTGGATGAGAAGATTGACATTTACAGTTATGGAGTGGTTCTGTTGGAGCTTCTCACTGGAAAGCGGCCTTTAGATCCGGAGTTTGGAGAATCTATAGACATAGTAGGGTGGATTAGAAGGAAGATAGACAACAAATCTCCAGAAGAAGCATTAGACCCCAGTGTAGGAAACTGCAAGCATGTTCAAGAAGAGATGCTTTTAGTTCTTAGAATAGCACTTCTTTGCACTGCCAAGTTCCCCAAGGACAGACCCTCCATGAGGGATGTTATAATGATGCTTGGAGAGGCAAAGCCTCGGAGAAAGAGTGGTAGTAGGAGCAGTGAAACATTTGCAGCTAACAAGGAGATGCCAGTTATTAGCACATCACCAGTTAATGGCCTTCTGTAGGAACCAAAATTGAAGTTTTCCCAGGCTGCTACAGGATTTTTCATTGTACTCAGAGCTGTAATTTTGTTAATTTCTTGTAATTTTGTAATTAATTCAGTAGTTCACAATTGTTGTTTAAATATGTATATCAAGATGGATTAACTTTAGCAAGGGATTTGTCAATGAATTGTGGCTTTGGTGATGAAGCATATATTTCAGTCAAATAACCAAATAAAGCAATTGTACCTACTATCATTTTAATAGCACTTATATATATATATATATATATATGTGTGTGTTTTTCATTTTTTGGCATGTGTATGGGTTATGTACGTACAAAAAGTACTTTTTAATTCCTTAAAGTCAATGGAATTCTTATTTACGATTCGATTGTGCTTTGTCTAAATCAAACTCTATCTGCATCAAAATGAGTGCCACAAATACCCGGAAGTGATGACTTTAGATTAAAATTCCCGCAATTATTATTTTTAAACGTAAGAGATTGCTTGTGCTTGAAGTTCTTGTCCACATGATTGACGACAAAACAAATCTTAGCACACATTTTAGCTTTGTCAAAAAGCTACAACCATGGATCACTTGGATGCGGGCTTGCACTAAAGCATTATTCCATTCAAAATTTTCAATGAGCGCTATTTTAAAATTATGGTACGAAAAATTGATTAACTAGACTGTCATTTCAGAAAATAGGTATCCTTTCAAAGGAAATTTGAATTTACAGTAAAATAAAGTTCAATCAAAACTTTATAGCTGACAAAGTTAGCAAACATCTCGCATTTACAACACTAAGAAGCAGTCTGACTTGTATGATTAGTAGTATTGCAAGGAAATCTATATGCCTGCACCCTCCAAGTGAGATGAATAGAGAGGCAGTGACAAAGATACCAAATTAAACAAACAAACAAACTGAATTAATTAAACAAAAGTGCGAGATTTGATCATTTAAATCTCAAAACTCCATATACTTGCAGTATTCCTGTACTTCTTTCTCTTTCTGTTTTTCCCCTTCTTCTATTTGTTTTACATTTAAGGAGACAGGTTCTGTGTCCTTGGACATGAAAATAGTTTCTATATGGGTTTACTTTTCTGTCTGATGTTTTCTTCCAATCTAGGTCCTGCAAACAAGAAGTAACTACATTAGCAAAAGAAAAATATAGGGTAAGGAAGTTCTTGGAATAATAATGCATTTGCTTACCAAGTCCATTAGCCTCAGATGTTCTCATGATTCTTAGCCTCCTCACTGAGCTAATGAACATCCTGATTGTCATTAGAAAGAGAAAGATAAATAATAAAGCAGAGAAACACGAGACCCTCATTTCAGTGTTAAATCATAAAAAGACAAGCTAACATGAAACTACTTTCACTGTTCAAGAAAAAGATATGAACCTATCTAATATATTAAGTTTATGACTTTATTGAATTATTAATTCTTAATAGGATAGAGCATAGCACCAAATGGTGGGTTGAGTTTTGGAATATTAGTATAGGGCTATGGGATGTGCAAACAGCAGTAAATTGCAATAATATATTAATGAAAATATCTTGAACCAATTTCTGGTAACGATGATTTTATACAGGATCAAAACAAAGGGTAAATCATGTGATTACAGGAATAGGTGGAATGAGTGTCTGCACAATAAGAAGCATGAGAACAAGTAAAATGACACATAAAACCCATCTCTGACAGTCATCCACTTCAACACACTCTCCTCCAGTGACAGAATTAAAAACATTATCAGCTATAGAACTTAGACAAAGCCTCCCTAAAAAGAAACTCACACAAATCAACAGACGGTCTACAACAAGCCAGCAGGTACTCCTAGCACTGAGACCAGTAATTTGAAAATAGGATTCTGCACTGGTTTGAGCTATACAAAGTAAGTTTTAACCCTTATGCCATGTGTTTATGTTTGTTACATATATGCATATAATATATCTATTTTATATCATAAAATAGGGTTTTGCCACAGACAAATGCGTTAGGTTTGAGGAAACAGGAGGGAAGGGAAAATGAGGAGGCTAAAATCCTCCTCTCCCATTTTTGTCTCCTGTCTAATATTGAGGGGATCTGAAGGACAGGGAAAGTAATTTATAATTTTTCTAATAAGCTGATAAATTATCCTTGAGATTTTATTTATCCTTCTCTCCCCTCCATTAATACTTGTAAGGTACTATAACAGTATATTACTATCATTTTCTCCCCCTTCCCTTTGCTAACAAAACAAGGGGACCCTCCCCTCCCCTTTGTACCAAATCAAATAAGGGGATTCACTCCTTCCTTTTTAACCAAACATATTTTAAAATAAATTTATTTAATACAAAATACATTTATGAACATATAAATTTTATTGTTGAACTTGAATATATTTTCATATTATATCACTAGTTTGACCACAGTTGAACCAATAAACCATGAACAAGAACAAGTGTTTTCACTTTTCACTAGTTCAATGAGTCCAATTATAAAAACATTGCTTACTAGCACATAGATACAATCTCATAATGTCCAAAGCATTACATGTATTATTTGACAATTAACTGACAATACAAAATTATTTTTGCACTGCAGTATCAGTAACAACATGCATATTTGATGCTATTATAATAGAATTGATGTTTGTGGATCAATCACTTACCCCCAAGGAACATCTCCAACAAGCATCCAATCTCCTTCCTTGTCTTCATAAGTGAGCACAAACTTGGAAGATCCATCCAACAATTTTGAATGCCTTTCTCCTCCAATAATAATGCCATGGTCCTCACCATTTGATCCTATTGACAAAGATGTCAGTACCATTGGGTGAAAGAAGTAATAGAAGACAATGAGAGCACAAAACTACATGATTGCCTCCATCTTAATACAAAATACTAAAGAGGGAAATAGAAAAAATGGCATATGCAAGAATTATTTCAATGATGAAAAACATAGCATCAAGTTATCACATATTCCCACTGGTTATGAATATATGCAAAAAAAAACTCATTTGTTGGTCTCAAATATAAGCAAATCTCAATCTATTTAATGTTGTCATCTCCAAAATACCCCTTCATTAATTGAGATTGTATTTCTGATGCTTCTTTTTATTCTTGATACCAAGCTTCAAGGATAGTTTAGGAAAATAAGTTATTGTTTAGATGGGATTAGCAAAATTAAATGATGTAAACAACCTTTCTTAATAAGCATGAATTGGTTTATTTTTTCTTATATTCAGAACCAGAGTATTTGTTTACATTTTTTCAGATGTCACTGAGTGTTTGGGAAAAGTAAAAAATAGTTGCTTCACATCAAAGCTCCTAAAAACAGTTTGGAAACTGCAGTTGAAGAGTATCTTAAACAGGTTGCTCGGTGGCTTTTTATCTTTAAAGTTTTGCTGTATTTTGAAAGATCATAAGTTACAGAACCATAATAATGAGATATTCCCGAAGAAAAGAAGTACAAAGAACAGATATAATCCTAACATGACAAGGGAAAGATGAGAAAAGAAAATTTTAAATCCACATCATTGCAACCTGCATAAAGCATTCCACACATGCTTGTCAGTTTTTAATTTTTCATCAACCTTCAAAATATATCATTTTGATTTAGTCACAAGATATGCCTAAATCTTAGTGAGACAAGAGGAAGCACCAAGTTACTATTAAGCCAAATTTAAAGCAGACACACAAAAGAAATGATACAAAGTCAACAAAACATTCACCATACAGATGAAATCTCAGTGGTCTTGAAAACATGTCATAATTCCCTGAAAAAGATGCATTCTATTTATTATTAGTATAAAGACCAAGGAAATTCACCTTTGCAAGTGATGACTGTAGTTGATTCATTAAACATATCCTCCAATGTTTGCGCTAAGGTTTCATAGGAACTATGAGCACTCAAATCGACCTTCCTTCCAATTGGTATCCCATCCATATTTACCTTGACAAACAGGGAACTCCTGAGGTGTCTTTTTTCTTTGGCATTAATGTTATTATCATTGCCATTGTCAGCACTCTTCCTTACTGCAGTAGTATTGTTCTTACTCTTCTCAGCCACAGAGTCAAATACTTCTGGTGACTTTGTATGGCTATTGTAGTTGCAGCTATTCACTCTATATGTTCGAAGTGGAGGCCATCCAACTACTTGACTGTTTGGTAAATTCAAGCACAACAGAAATGATAACCCCATCAGTGATGAAACAAAAATAAAATTGGTAAATATTTAATTCACTTTGTTTCAAGAAAGGGACATTAACTCTATAGACAACTTGTTGAACAATAGTAAATGCAAACCAATTCTTTTAGAAATAGTTAAAAAAAAAATAAGTTACAAATCAAGAGCATAACTCAATCCACTTATGCCAATCAATAACTTTGGATACTTTCATACACTATAATGACTATATGGTGATTCCAACTCCATAAGATCCGCAAATGCCTTATTTTGCCCAACAAATAAGCTATTAAGATATTGACATGACACACAGAGCAGACAAAACATACCATAGTTTTTTTACTCGAGCTAAACTATGTATCATATTTGGGGGCAGCACAACATACCAAATCCTCCCCCCATTTTTTTTTCCCAATCTTCAAAATCACCCATTCAGGCCAGAAAATTTCAAGATGTTAAAAACATACTCTAGTAAAATATAACTTTAGCCCCATCTCCCACTGCTGACTCTAATTCTGCTATTGATTATAACTTTCCTTATTTATTTTTTTAAGTTGTTGGATCTAACTATAAGGAAACTCTTAATCATGCACTAGATTTGATTTTTAGATTGTACATTTATCAATTGAATTTGACATAAAGTCAACCAATCACGATCTTAATAACATTTATTTTCAGTTATGTTCAAGGAAACTAGCAATCTTGCTCTTCAGAGTTCACAAGAATGAAAGACTCCACCGTTGAGAACTTATGCTATAAAATTCTCCCACATGTACACAACCAACTGAATCTAGATCATCATAAACACAGATACTCGCTACGATTCCTCTTCCCCGTTACTATTTCCCAAAGTGCAAAATTGTTTTTAAATGGTAACCTCATAATAAGATGTTAACGCTAAAAAAAAACATAAAACAAGCACGATTAAACAGCATCAGATTAACTTCTATTCCATTAACTCCTTAACTCATTTAGTCCTTGAACTTTCCAAACTCAATCTAGCACATTGAATTTCCTCGGATAAGTAACACCATGTGATTCATATATTCAATAATTAAAAGGGATGAAGTTGAGACAGCAGCACAAAACCCAATATACATAATTCCACATCAGGTAAAAAGTCAACAAGATCGAATTGTAAAACAATTGTACTAACAAGAAGGTAAGTAGGTAACCTATTCAAAGCAAGACAACATACATAGGTAAAGTAAATAGTAAATTCAAGAATAGGATGAAACATACCTGGGACGGTTATTGGCAGCAAGAGAATCAGCAGCTCTCTTGGTGCCAGCAGTGAAGTTGGGAGAGGAAGAAGAAGAAGAAGAAGGTGATGATGCTGAAGAAGGAAAGTCCCTAGCAGTGTAAATTCTAGCATAAGAAAGAGGAGGAAGAGGAGGAGGAGGGGCATGGACATGGTGGTGAGACTTTGAAGAGCCAGAGAGGCTCAACCCAAGACCCAATTCAAGCTCAGACTCTTCTGGGCACGAAGAGTCCTCCGAAGAAAGCACCAAGTTGTCATCTTTGGACAGCGTTGACATCGACCCACAATTGGAACAATCACTGAGAAGGGAAAAAAAATAAGATTTTTGGGAGAATTGGGGAAGAAGAAGGCAAAGGGGTGGATGAATTTGAAGGGAAGAAGTGTATAATAAACGGTTAGGTGGAAATGGTGATGGAATTGAGAGTGTCGGAGAGAGAGAGGGAAAGGGCACTAAGCAGTGTGGGCCCACATGTCTGGTCTAAATTGTGCGGTTCCTCCATTGATCGATGTTTTGCTTTAACTTGATTGTACTTTTATTATTATATTTTCTCCTTCTTCTAGATTCTCTCTCTCCTCTTTTTCTTTCTCTACACTACACACTCTGCTATTGGAAAACAACGCATTCAATCACTCCTCAATTTCTCATCCTCGTATCATGGCGTGAGATATCATACACTACACACCAACCGTAACATGAGGAGGGAAGACTAGAACGCAAAGTCGCAAACCACATGCTACATTTCAGTATTTGACACTTTTTTTCCTGCGTTGTATTTGTTTTTTTTACTCCAAAATTTAACAATCTTGAGAATATATAAAAAATATATTTGATAAGTCGAATTGTCTCATAAAATATACATTACTATCAAAAATAAAATAAAGGTTTGCTTTTTGTAAAAAATAATAATAATAAATCGTCACAATCAAGATTATTTTGTGACAGCTTAGTTAGATAATTTTGTGACTTTTCCTTTAGATTGTCGCAACTAACAAGCACAATAACCCGTGATTAAAAATTTATATATAACTTTTAAAAGTATAAATATATATCATAATTATTTTTTATAAGGTTTTATACCTACGATTATGATTAGTAGGTTTTAACATAATTTTATTTAAAAATATATATTCTAAATATAATTTATTTATTGTCATAGACATTTTTTTAAATATTTAGTTAGAACTACAATCCTAAAGATCTGTTTTATAATAATTTAATATTAATAAAAATATAAAATAAATATGTTAAATTGTATAAAAATCAAGTTTAATTTATTTATGATATAAAATTTGTTTTTAATATTTAATATAATTTTTTAGATAATTTATTTTAAAACATATGTTATAATAAAAATTTTAAATAGAACACAAATTTTCCAACCTTTTATATTTTGATTATTTTTTAATCAATGTATACAACCTTACAATCTTGATCATTTTGATTTTTTTAATCAACTTATACAATAAATAGAAAATACAAGGTAAACATGCATCCTGCAAATTTTATTTTATCAAAAATTAATTTTTTTAATATATAATATTATATATGTGATCATTAATATATATATATATATATATATATATATATATATTATAATTAAACATTTTTAAAAAATTGGTTTGTTATTAAGGAGTATTATTTATCACATATGATAATTAATCTCCTACGAAAGTTTGACAAATATCAAATAAATAAACATTTCTTTCAAATTTATATTTTATACATACAGTAATTTAAATATATTTATTTATTTTATTAGAATATAATTTTTATTTTTTAAAATATTTTTTTTATAAAAAAATATGTATGTGTAAAATGATAGTAGGAGTAAGTGTCTCCACTCTCTTGCATATAGATCCGTCCCTTACAATAATAATCATCATAATAATAAATGCATATTATTATGATGACAACAAAATTATGATGATGACAATTATGATAAAAATATTGCCTAAAATAAAGATAAAAGTTTTACCTCATATTCCATTTATTCTTAGGTTTTTAACTAGTAAATAAAATAGGATTAAAAAAATTATTTTACCAAATAATAAATTAAGATAGGATATAATAAAATTTCCTAAATTTTTTCCATGACTTATATTAATAATCTAGTAAGTCATTGGTTTGAAGCAAAATTCATAAAAATGTTTTACGCGTGTGGTGTGTAATATGTTGAAAATGAAGCATGTCATTGGTCTTCACTACAAATTACCGAAGCAAGGGGGAGGAGGAGATGACAAGTAGTCAAAGTTCATTCGTTAAGACATAATATTACTTTAATAAACTAATAAGTTCCGAAATAATGAACAGATAACTAAACTTCTTAAGTATAATTAATAGTTATTAAAATGTGCGGTCCAATATGACCCTTGGGTCAAGTATGAGAAACAGGCCAATTTGACTTTTACATGTACGTGATTTTGTTGGTCACAAAGACTAAACTAGATCATTCCATTTTTTAGACATTATTTATAAAGAGTGAAAAGTGGTTTGTGTTCTATTAAAAGTAGGATGAGAAATAAACTCGTATTCGTGAGTAATACTTGAACTCGTCCTGATTTTGATGAGAAATATTTGATTTAATCGGATATGAGTACATGTACGAATAAAACTTGATATGTTAAACCGGGTACGGGTACGTGTATATATATACATGTTCCGTACTCGTACCCGTCTCCATCCTTGATTAAATTATATTAAAAAAATTTAATATTTTATTATGTATAATTATTTATTATAATGTAAAATATTTATAGTTATTTAATTATTAAGAAATTTCTTGATTAAAATATGAGATAAAGAAACAATTTAATTATAATTATAATATAATAAAAAAAATAATTTAAAAATATTATGTATTTTTTTATAAAAAGTAATAATATTTTTTTATGAATACAAATATGGGTATACCCAATATCCAACAGAGATAAGGATGAGAACGAAAATTATATACTCAGTAAATACAATTACGAGTATGGGAACAAGGATGAGTTTGAGTTGCATAGTAATAGAGACGGATTTCATGTAAAATCCGTACCTGACTGGCGTGTTACCATCCAGAGACGAGAAGAGATAGAAATTCGAGAGAAAAAAAGATAGAGGCCTTAAAAGAAGGGGGAGTGTGGTAGGACCGAAGGGAGCAACAACATAGATGGGTTCCAAACGACAAGCCGACAAGGGTGGGACCAGACATCACACGGCTCGGAAAAGGAGAATAAGGTTTCGTTTAATGGAGAAGTGTGGTAGGGAATGGCGACAGGCGACAGCCCACCACACATGACCATGACCAAATCAACTCTTAACCCTTTCTTTCGGTTCAGTCGATATGTATGTGGCCCAATTCTATGCATACATTATACATACATTTCCCCAATCTTCTTTCTTTTCTTATCGCACGTAAATGTATACAAGTCAACATCCTGAATGCGACTTTACCTTGCACCCTTCACACTCCACACTCCAATAACTTCACTTCATCCTCACCCTGCTTCTCTCTTTCATAACATTTTTTTTCTGCTTTAAATTTTCTTTTACCTTCAAAACAATTTTCTCCTTTACTACTTCACTCACCTATAGTATGTGGACAAAAAGTTAAACTATATTTCAAAAGTTCTAAACGTGATCAAAATGGAGCCACCCTAATAGAATGTGTGTGACGGAACGGAACGATTCCAAGCATACACTACTAGTAGATAAGTTGCATGTTTGATTCTCTCTTTATCTTTTGTAAGTGGTAGCATAAATGAAAGGTTTCTATACACTTTATTTAATTTATTTATTTGTTTTTACCTATACCTCGCTATCGTATAAGGAGACCTATAAGGAGAACAATTTTTATTTTCAAAATATGAGAAACAATAAATATTAATTATTTATGTATGAAGTAAGTTGGGATTACCTCCCTAATAAATTCAACTAACTGTAATTAAGGTAATATTACCTCTTGCTTTTAAAAATATATATATCATAATAAAGAAAAAAAATACCCATATCATATCACCTTTTAAAATTTTACATTTTTATCAACCCAATTTTTCAACATTGACATAATAGTACTAAAAATAAATGGACAACATATTTAAAAAGAAACAGTTTAATAAGCCAACCTGTCCCAGTTTTTGATGGATTTGGAAGGATAAACTAAGTGAGCTAGTGGGTTGAGTCACTTAGCCTACCTCCAATTTTGATGAGCTGGTTGAACCAACATACAAAACTCTAAAACCCAACATTGTTTTATCATTTTTTTTTATGAATGAAATAGTAGAAAGGGGATTTTTTTATCATATTTTATTTTCCTTCTTTAATTTCTTGTAATTTGAAAAAAAAAAAAAGTGTAGTGACATGTTTCATGTTATCCATGTCACAACATAAATTAATTAAATTAGTCCAATGATTATAATAATAGTGAGTTAGTTATTTAGTTTATTGTGACATATATCGAATTTTTTCTCTAATTATATTATAATTATTCATTCAATTAATTATAAATTATTTCTTTTACAATTTTTTTGTTTTTATTTTCATCTCAACCATGGCTTCTAAAATGATAGTATAAGGATGACATTACTTGTGATAGGACTACATAAAACTCTTTAAGCTCATTTTCCTCTCTTTCTTCTATTTCTCCTTATTTTCTTTATTGTCTCAAATTTTTCTCCATGCACAAATAATGAAGTAATTTTTAAGGGCTCCATGAAGTTATCAATAGATGGAAAGGCTAGACAACACATTTCAACATGATTGAAGAGGCGCCTAATTTAATTCAACTATGCTAATAGCCATCTAGTATTGTGGCTTCATGAATCTTTCTGCATCATGTGCCATGTCCACTATATATAACTTCAGAAAATGTTAAAGTTGCAGAGTTTACTTTAGCAGAATACTAAGAAAACAATTTATTCCAGCTTCCATAAACAAACCCCATTCAGATATATCATACTAGTTAATAATATTGATAGGAGGGGAAACTAATTTATCCACTGGCTGAAGTAGTTTTAATTATAGTTTTTGAACGGTGAAAAGTGAAAACATATAGAGACAAAAAAAAAACAGTAATAGTGCTTATTTCTAGTTGAAAATGATTAAAATCGTTAAGACATTATCAATTCACACAAATTACAAATCGACAGAATTTATAAAATACAGAACACAAAAATAACTCTTGGAAGGATTTCCTATTTCAACTTGTAATTACCAAAGCCCAACTCAATGAACGTATAATATAAGAATCAAACTGGACCGAGTTTGATTGATGTCCCTTCTTTCAGGCATGGCCTTTTTTCAAAGTTAAAAGTTTCTAACATACACTTTTGCTTTAAAAGGAGTTTTTCCTTTGTTGAATGCCTCACATTCCTCTCTGTCCAAATATTTTCCTTCCTTCACCTGATTAGACAAAACTTTAGCTTGAGCTTCTATCTTCCCTTTTGCATCTTTCTTTCTGTGACCTGATGATATACTGCGGTTCAAGTCATTTATGCTTCCAATTAACCCATCATTTTCTGAAAGCAAAATAATAGTCTCAAAAGTGAAAACATGCATCATAGCAAAGAAAAACACTATTAGTATTTGGACAAAACTTTGAGTTTCTTGCGATTAGTTTTATTCTCATCAGAGTTAGAATTTCTCATTAATATTCATCTATGCCTAATATAGAGATAAATCTTCAATTCTGATTGAATAACAGTACTAATCACACTTAAAGAACTATGACTAAGTTTTATCCTTAGTTTTTATGATGTCTTCACATAACACTGAGCATTTTCCACTAGTAACAATTACCGGGACTAGATAAGACTGCACGTGGGCGAATAACAGAACAAGATCTTGCATTTTCTTTTGGACTCTCACCAACTCGTTTCATACTCTTCAATACTCCTGTGGAAGTTGAAACATCATTAAAATCTAGTTCAGTTTCTCCCTTAATTTACAACAAAAATCAATGTTAAAGAGATAAATGAGGGAAATCTTAACCTTTAGTTGAAGGGGTGGATCTCATTGTTACATGTTGAGGACAAGCCTTGGTGCTTTTGGAAACTGAGGGTGGAGACTCAATCTGATTCTTCTCATCTGCTCTCAAAGATTAAGAATTTCGTGTTTGAACGCAGTCCCAGAAAAAAAAATTGCAGGGGTAAATTTTTTTTATTAAGTTTATTTATAAGTTAAAATTAGTTTATATAAGTTAAATATGTTTTTAAAAAGTTAAAGAGAGTTAATTTTTTCAAATTAATTTATACACAAGCTAGTTTTAATTTTTAGAAAAAATTATTTCATTTTTTCTTTTTATCTTATAAATGTTAACGGAGAAGCTTATCTATACATAAACCGAATCAAAGCAAATGAATTACCTTCAAAGGACAGTAACTCGATTAACTTTGAAAACATCCAAGTTCCACTATTTTTTTCTGGATAAACAAATTCTTCTTGTTGTTCTGAGACTCTCACTTTCCCCTTGGGATTCACTTCAACAAACAACACAAGTTTATAAATAAAAGGTGTGTGGTAACCAAACAAAATGTTGTACTGTGACAAATTAATAAATAGCTATTAACAATAAGAATTGAAAAATGGATGAAACCAAGAGGGATCTTCTGCCATTTTGTAATTGAAATTTCCAGATGGTTTCTCAATTGCAACTATAAGAAATCGGTGAAAAATATATTTTGCCTACACATGTTGGATTGGTGAAAAGCAAAGTGAAAGAACATAGAACCATAGAACTTTGACATGAATGTGTTATAGCAATAGAGAAGACGTGTGAAGGAAACTCACTTATGCGTTGTTTTAAAATCAAGAGTTTGGAATAGATTTGGTATTGAAAAAATATGAAACCCTTAGAAAATTGAAACTTCTTGTGGTTTATAAAGGGCGAGCCATTGGAGAAATTGTTAAATGAGTAAAGAAGAAGTAAAAAGGATGGGGTAAAATGAAAGTGGCAATTATATTTCTTTACTTGAACACAAAGTAGGTCAGATTGTTCAGAATTCAGATCACATGATGAGTGATACCGAGTTAGAACTATGACATTTTTAAAGCAGATTCTCAATGCTATGAGTATTGAGGTAAGAACTCCTCTCCTTCAAGAAATGTTTGAGAAATTTATTGGTGGTTCCAAATAGGTAGAGTGGATTCTGGTGGTTCCATTTAGGTAAGGTGGAGCATGCCATGATATTGTTAATTAATAAATTAGAATGCACCAACGTAGTAAAGATTTTTTATTCTGTTATTTAATCACACATTTCGTTGTTTATACGATAAATTTATTAAATTTTAGAGTAAATTATACTAACACAATGAGGTATCGTAAAATTATACATACATTTTTTAATGTTTATAGTAATATTTCTTACGGGAGTAATAAAATAATGTTTTTAAATAATTAAAAGATTAATATAATATTTAAACAAAATAATGTCTTTTTAATAATTACAATATTAATGTTGTACTGGGAGGATCACATCGGCCACTTGAAATGGTACGTGACATGCCCTCTCAGCCACCAAAACAGCCGAGACAACCAAGAGGTAAGGACTTCTACATCACTTGGCTTATCACGGCTCGACGCGTCAACCGCCAAGATGGCCGAACCTACAAGGTCCCTTGTGCCTAAAGCGTCGAAGACTCGATCACATTAACAACCTAACTAATCGGCCAAATAACGTCTCGACTTGATCGGAGGTCGAGACTCGAAGAACAACTTCAGCCCTATAACATCTCAGCTTGGTTTGAGGCCAAGACTCAAAGAACAGCTTCAGCCCTATAACATCTCGGCTCGGTCGGAGGCCGAGACTCAAAAAACAGCTTCAGCCCTATAATATATTGGCTCGGTCGGAGGCTGAGACTCAGAATAACTTCAACCCTATACCTCTCGGCTCGGCCAACAGCCAAAACGACTAAACACCACAATTAGAACAATAATTATGATTAACAAGGCCAAACACGTGATTAAGGTACAATTAGTCGTTTAGCACCGTATTACCTAATTTGGTAATTATCAGAGAAGGCCCACCACACTCAGGGCCCATTATAAGTAGTATAAATAAGTCATGTAAAACGAGGTAGGTTACTGTTCATTTATTACTATCGAGATTCGTGTTTGTCCTTACTTGAGCGTTGGAATGCCTTTTATAGGTGTCATCCCCCTTCTTTGGAGCATTCGTCCTGAACCCTCGTTCGACCTTCAAACTTAGAAGATTACGAGTGTGCCCTGAGTCAGGAAAATGTAATATTTGTGCCGTGTGTTAAGTCTCAATTATACTCTTTTTAGATAGGACTTATTAAACAATTCCACTCATCCAAGACACTCTTGCAAAATGATTGTTCTCTTTTTTGTTCAATTTTTGTGCAGATATAACTAACCTAATCCCATCTAACAATACCTTGATACACCTCATTTTTTGTGCAGGTATTGAGTGAAGAGTTGAAAGTTGAAGACCCATTGGATTGAAAATTAAAGGAGCTAAGGAGCAGGAGAAGAGTACCTGCGCCAGGCGCAAGACTACCCGCGTCGGGCTTGAGCAAAACAGAGAGTCACACCTCTGCAATTCATAATTGCGTCAAGCGCAAGAAAGTGCACCGGGCGTACTCGAGACAGAGAGCAACTCAAACTCTTTGGAAAACATCGCGTCCGGCTTAAAAGTAATTGCGCCAGGCGTGTCTTGAGGCAGAGAGTAACTAAACTCTCTGGAAGGCCCTGCCCCGGGCACAAAGTATAATGCATCGGGCGTGGTAACCCTAACCTGACTCACCCAGCTCGTATTGATCGTATACCTCTAATTCCATCATTTGTCGACTAAAATAATCATCATACCAACACAACCAATTTTAACCGAGATGAGGGATAGAAGCAAATATATAGGGCTTTCATGCCCTATATGTTCCTCATGATCATTACAAAATGCATCTAATAATAACAGTCTTAATTTATTGACATCAGGGTAAGATATAAAAAGATCGTATACCTCTTCTTCCATCATTTTTCGACTAAAATAATCATCATCCAACACAATCAATTTTAACCGAGATGAGGGACAGAAGCAAATATATAGGGCTTTCATGCCCTATATGTTCTCATGATCAATACAAAATGTAGTTAATAACCACCGTCTCAATTTTTTGACATCAAGGTAAGGCATAATAAGATCATATACCTCCTCTTCCATCATTAGTCGACTACAATAATCATCATTACAACACAATCAATTTTAACCGAGATGAGCAACAAAAGCAAATATATAGGGCTTTCATGCCCTATATGTTCTCATGATCAATACAAACTGTATCTAATAGCCACCGTCTCAATTTTTTGACATCAGGGTAAGGCATAAAAAGATCGTATAGCTCCTCTTCCATCATTTGTTGAATAAAATAATCATCATACAAACACAATCATTTTTAACCGAGATGAGGGACAGAAGCAAATATATAGGGCTTTCATGCCCTATATGTTCTCATGATTGATACAAAATGCATCTAATAACAACACTCTCAATTTATCGACATCAGGGTAAGACATAAAAAGATCGTATACATCCTCTTCCATCATTTGTCGACTAAAATAACCATGATACCAACACAAACAATTAACCGAGATGAGGGACAGAAGCTAATATATAGGGCTTTCATGCCCTATATGTTCTCATGATTAATACAAAATGCATCTAATAACAACACTCTCAATTTATCGACATCAGGGTAAGACATAAAAAGATCGTATACATCCTCTTCCATCATTTGTCGACTAAAATAACCATGATACCAACACAAACAATTAACCGAGATGAGGGACAGAAGCAAATATATAGGGCTTTCATGCCCTATATGTTCTCATGATTAATACAAAATGCATCTAATAACAACACTCTCAATTTATCGACATCAGGGTAAGACATAAAAAGATCGTATACATCCTCTTCCATCATTTGTCGACTAAAATAACCATGATACCAACACAATCAATTAACCGAGATGAGAGACAGAAGCAAATATATAGGGCTTTCATGCCCTATATGTTCTTATGATCAATACAAAATGTATCTAATAACCACCGTCTCAATTTTTTGACATCAGGATAAGGCATAAAAAGATCGTATACCTCCTATTCCATCATTTGTCGACTAAAATAATCATCGTCCAACACAATCAATTTTAATCGAGATGAGGGACAGAAGCAAATATATAGGGCTTTCATGCCCCATATGTTCTCGTGATCAATACAAAATCCATCTAATAACCACCGTCTTAATTTTTTGACATTAGGGTAAGGCATAAAAAGATGTATACCTCCTCTTCCATCATTTTTCGACTAAAATAATCATGATACCAACACAATCAATTTTAATCGAGATGAGGGACAGAAACAAATATATAGGGCTTTCATGCTCTATATGTTCTCAAGATCAATACAAAATGTATTTAATAACCAACGTCTCAATTTTTCGATATCAGGGTATGGCATAAAAAGATCGTATACCTCCTCTTATATCATTTGTCGACTAAAATAATGATCATACCAACACAATCATATTTAACCGAGATAAGGCACAGAAGCAAATATATAAGGCTTTCATGCCATATATGTTCTTAGGATCAATAAATAATGTATCTAATAATCACCGTCTCAATTCTTCGACATTAGGATAAGGCATAAAAATATCGTATACCTCCTTTTCCATCCTTTGTCGACTAAAATAAATCATACCAACACAATCAATTTTAACCGAGATGAGCGATAGAAGCAAATATATAGGGCTTTCATGCCCTATATGTTTTCATGATCAATACAAAATGCATCTAATAACAAAAGTCTCAATTTATCGACATCAGTGTAAGACATAAAAAGATCATATACCTCCTTTTCCATCATTTGTCGACTAAAATAATCATCATACCAACACAATCAATTTTAACCAAGATAAGGGACAAAAGCAAATATATCGGGCTTTTATGCCCTATATTTTCTCATGATCAATACAAAATGTATCTAATAACAACAATCTCAAGTTATCGACATCAGGGTAAGACATAAAAAGATCGTATACATCCTCTTCCATCATTTGTCGACTAAAATAACCATGATACCAACACAATCAATTAACCGAGATGAGAGACAGAACCAAATATATAGGGCTTTCATGTCCTATATGTTCTCATGATCAATACAAAATGTATCTAATAATCACCGTCTCAATTTTTTGACATCAGGATAAGGCATAAAAAGATCGTATACCTCCTCTTCCATCATTTGTCGACTAAAATAATCATCATCCAACACAATCTATTTTACCCGAGATGAGGGACAGAAGCAAATATATAGGGCTTTCATGCCCTATATGTTCTCGTGATCAATACAAAATCCATCTAATAACCACCGTCTCAAATTTTTGACATTAGGGTAAGGCATAAAAAGATCGTATACCTCCTCTTTCATCATTTTTCGACTAAAATAATCATGATACCAACACAATCAATTTTAATCGAGATGAGGGACAGAAGCTAATATACAGGGCTTTCATGCCCTATATGTTCTTAAGATCAATACAAAATGTATTTAATAACCACCGTCTCAATTTTTCGATATCAGGGTAGGGCATAAAAAGATCGTATACCTCCTCTTCTATCATTTGTCGACTAAAATAATCATCATACCAACACAATTAATTTTAACCGAGATGAGCGATAGAAGCAAATATATAGGGCTTTCATGCCCTATATGTTCTCATGATCAATACAAAATGCATCTAATAACAAAAGTCTCAATTTATCGACATCAGGGTAAGACATAAAAAGATCGTATACCTCCTCTTCCATCATTTGTCGACTAAAATAATCATCATAACAACACAATCAATTTTAACCG